TGAGGGGCCCGTGCGCGAAGGAGAAATGGCCACGTGGAGGGGAAAACTGTGCCCACGGAAAGAGGGGGCGCCTGTGCCCTGGGGGGCACAAGTGAGCAGGTGTCGGCCGGGCCGTGGGTGCTGCCTCCCGGCTGGGTCTAAGCTCGCAGAGCCTGGGCCTCCAGCCGGCCGGGCATCTCGCAGCCTTACAGCCGCCGTGTGGTGGGAAAGGGGGTGCGGGAGGCGAGGCGGGTGCAGGGGGCACACGTGGTGATGGGAGGAGACCTGACCTGGGGCGGTGAACGCAGGAAACAACATGCAGACGATGTGTTGCAGAATTGTGCCCCTGAAATGTACATCACTTTAAGAACCAAGGCCACCCCAGTACATGTCATAAAAATTTAAAAAAGAGAAAAGTGAAACCATTAGACAAAATATCGCAGCCTTGTACATTCCCATAAATCACACACGCACGCACACGCATGGAAACCTACACACACGCACACACAATCGCTCAGAGTCAGGCCCAGGCTCCCGGTTTGTGTTGTGTGTGTGTAATTCTCCCCCGAGGACATTCTTTCCGTTGATCTTTAGAGAGTGGAAGGGAGGGAGGGAGAGAGAGAGGCATCGTCTGGTTCCCTCCCGCACTCGCTCCCTCCGGGATCGAACCCGCAACCCAGCTGCGTGCCCTTGACTGGAATCGAACCGTGACCCTTCCATGCGTCTTGGGCGGACGCTCTAACCAGCGAGTCACAGCAGCCGGGGCCGGGCTCCTCTTTCTTTTTCTTTTCTTTTTTTAAATATATCTTTATTGATCTCAGAGAGAGGAAAGGAGAGGGAGAGAGAGAGAAACATCAATGATGGGAGAGTCATCAATCGAGCCCGCAACCTGGGCCTGTGCCCTGACCGGGACTCGAATCCCGATCGCCTGGATCCTAGGTCGATGCTCAACCGCTGAGCCACGCCGGCCGGGCTCCTCTTCCCACCGTATTTCCAGCGGCGCCAAGCACCCCCCCCGTTCCCCGGTTGGCCTGGTTCAAACCACGACCCAGCGGACGGGGCAGGGGGCTGCCGTGTCTGTTCCCTGAGACGTGGGGCTGAGCCGACGGACGGCGCCTCGTCCAGCCTCGGGCAGGAGTCGTTTCCCTGGACCCGACCCCCTCGGCCTCCCTAGAGCATGAGATTGCCCCAAAATACAGAAAGACAGCTAAGCTCGTAAGACAACCTGCCCACTGACAAAAAGATCCTAGAAGGTCACAGCCGGTGGCACCGGAAGGCGGCCCTTTGCTGTAAAGAACAAGGGGCCGTGTTATTAAGCTGCGGTTTCCCGCTGATGCCAGGCCCCCGGGCAGCGGCCGGCACCCTTCCCCATGGCCCGGTCCCGGGAAACTAAATGGCCGTAAAAATTAAAGGGAGAAACTGGGGGCAAACCACCCACCTCGAGGGGAGCAGGGGGGAGGAGAGCAGCTGAGAGACGCCCCCTCTTCCCTCCTCGGTCCCGTGACCTCAGGCCCTTTCTGGGGCCAGGACCTCCGTGCCCACTCACGGTGCCTGGTCAGGGCCCTCGGACAGGGACGGCAGCCTCCGATGCCAGCCCGGGGGTTGGGGTTGTCTGCCTGGGTGAACCAGACCCCTCCTCCTTCAGCTGACCTTGAAGCTCTGACCTCCCCACGTCGGGAAGGTCACCTGCAGGGCTCTGACCCGCCGTCCTTGCTGTAAAGCCC